TGACCTCTGAGCCACGAGAAGCACTGTGGGTGAAGGTGTTGAGTCATTTTTGAGTTCTCTTGAATCTTCGAGAGTCTTAGGACTCTAGAGACTCCTTCCACTTCTTCCACCCGTCTCTGTAGGTTCCCTCTCGATTCTCTCTCTTTCCTCTCCCAATCACAGGCTCTGGCTGGGGTCCAGCTCATAGAGCGCCTCCCATAAAGCTTCCTGGCAAGCTTGCGAACGCACAACTAAGGTGGTTTCCGCAAGCCATGAGGAGCCACAAACAATTTGAAATGAAGGCTTGCGCAATGATGGGCTGTGATCCTGGAAGGAACAGTACAGCAGGTGACAGGCCACAGAAGGCTTTCGCTTTGAAAGCAGTCTTGTTTTGGCCACTGTCACCGTCATGTTCGCTTCGCATCCAGGTGGAACCTGGTGCTGACCCAATGGCTTGGCTCTCTGAGATGTTACTGCATGCCGCATGCCGCATGCATTAAAACATCAAGCTCTCAACACCGCGTATGGAAGAGAAGTGCTGCCAATCGATCCTGTGCTGTAGATGCTTGTATGTCTGTGTACAGCCTCAGCTCTGCATCAGTGCCCAAGGAATATGGAATCAGCGGAATTTCCCGAGCCTTTACAATGGTTCACCTTTCGTGGGTTGTGCCTTCACAATGCCCGACGTGTCCCTGCGGTGACAGCCGAAAGGCTGCGAAACCTGTCAGCAATGATCCGGTCACGAATCTCTCTGGGCGGAACCACGCCAAGGTCATCACCCTGGTAGAGGCCTTATCTAAACTGCCGTTAGTTGGTTGCCCCTTTCCGCAGCTTTGAAATTGGAGCACCAAATCCTTGGTGACGTCGCATCGAGGCCCACTGTTGCACTGCGGCTGCGGGTCACCGCACGCACCGCGCCAGCTTCTAAGAGTTCACCAAGCAAGCGCTCCTTGTTGATTCAATGTTGTTCGCAGCTTTTGAGGCGAAATCCGAGGTTCCAGCAAGATCTGTCTGATTCAAAAAGCCGAGAGCGTGAGGTGCTTGGTTGGTACAGTAATTATCTTTTTGCAACCCTTAGTTGTGAAGGACAATGCCTTAAACCCCCCTACTTATCCTATGAAATCATCGGGAGGGGAAACCCTTTTTTCCGCCCAATCCAGTCAACTCCCATCCGCGGAGAACGGCGCCGCCGCGTCCTCCGACAACTCCATTTCATCGATGACCTTCAGTCTTCGAAGGCCACGGTAGAACTGCGCCACCTCAAGCCTCAGCGTAATGAACAGGAAACGGACAGCGCGAAGAACGTGTGTGGGGCGTGACGGATGGTGAAAGCATTTGTTTTTGGTGTGGCAGGTTTTTGGTGGGTTGTTTGTGTGATCTCTTAGAGGCATGGTGAGAGATGATGAGAAGACAAGAAAGGCGGTAAATTTGGCAGTGATGATCGGCTCGAGAAATCAACAAATGTTCAAAATAGAGTATTAATTGACAAACCATGGCCGGTGACCTCTTTTCACGCAATGAACTTCAATGAACACAACACGGAGATTTAGCCTTGCAAGAACGACATGAAGGATGCCAACTTTAGACTCCCCTAAGCAACGAGGTCTTTCATCTGCAAAGTTGAGGACAGGTTGCTCTCTTGAGGTTGACAATGGTTAATACTTCTTCAATAATCTATGTACATATATATATAATATACTACTCAACAGAACCATAGCTAAAGTTCCAAAGACTTCGTCATTCTTTCGGACAAAAGCAAACACCCTCCTAAAACGATCTATGTTTTAAAAAAATGCCTTTGTGCACTCCAAAAGGATTAGCACAAACACCAACTCCTGGAAAATCCAAGAAGTCTTTACCATGCTGCAGGCAATAAAGTCATCCACTTCTGCCGGCTGGACTTGGAAAAGCCTCTTGGCCGGTGGCAACCATTGGCACCTTTTCGGCAAACGATGAAGGCTGAGGCCCCGGGCTGGTTCCGAGGGCCCTTGTTCTCAGCTGTGAAGATCTTCGATAAGACCGTCTTCCCCTGCAAAAAGGGATGCAAGAAGATCTGGAAGGAGTGAGCAATAGGAACAAGGCTAGCCTGACCCTGAAAAAAACCAAGATGGGGAGGTGGTATGTGTAGTTCAATAATAGACAGGTCTGCAAACGTGTACAAGCTTTTTGGGTCACACATCTTATTTGAGAATTGGATCGTTTTCTTGTGCAAAACGGTCGGAGAAGCGATCAAAAGGTTGGTCGTGACTTGACGAGTGTCCCAAACCCACCGGACCACCGACACGAGTGTCAGCACCTGCCGGATGGCATAATCCAGGTGGATCAGCAAAACTGGGCCGAGATGGGAGAAAGCCACCGTGTGTAAGCCACCCAGTGTAAGCCACCGCAGAGGGTGAAGCCCTCTGATCTTCAAGTTTCAGGACTGATGGTCTTTTTCATGTGAAGATGAGATGTCTTGCTCTTTGCTACAATACATGAGGTATTTAAAGGAGGAGTGAACAAAAGAGCTGTCTAATTGCCTGCACACACTTGAGAAGAGGCTCGCAAGGGCGTCATTCCGGATGGTACTAGAAGTGCAAAAGCCCTACAGTTACCTAATAGACTCAATAGACCTTGGCTGCAAAAACTTATTTAAGGTGAAGAGTCCGTGAACAGTATTGTTTAACTTGGGTGAGACGGAGATGGAAAAAATTGAAACGCAGGTACGTGGCGTCCCACTTCCATATCCTCAGGTACAGTACATCAATCGCTAGCTTCGTTGACCAGGCGACGTCGTACTGTGCCTGGTGCCCTGCAGGTGAGTTAAAGTGTGCAAGAGCCCTTACCAACAGGGTCTGACACACGCACACACACACAGCCCAATCTTATAAGACATCTGCACATATTGCTGAAGAACACCCAAATGGGTCAAAAGCCACCCCTGGTCCACTCCAGAATGAACATCATCCTCCAAATGGGACGGAAACGACATTGTCCAGTGGGACGTGTCGGACCTCCCTCTGAGACCCCGTATCGGCACCTCAACTCCTTCCCGAGGTCCGCACGGAAGGCATTCAGCTTGGGCTCAGGGAGGCCCAAGTCCTGGGTGTTCTGGGCGAGGATTGCAGCACGGTCCCAGCGGTTGTGTCCAAGAAGTCTGGTGGTTCTTGGGCCACATCACTTCGGGGTAGGCCTACTTTGGACCATTTGGAGCTGACCAGACTGGACAAAGACCTGCTTAAAGGCCCAAACTGTAGACTTTATATGACTTTGTAGGTGTTTCTCCTGGTCCTAGTCTGCACCAGCCCGCACCTCATCAAATCATCGGTGGTCGACTAGCTCCATGGGCAAGTCGATACCGGGTGCGAGCACCCACACTACTCCCAACCAGATTTTGTCATGCCCAGAAAAGGCATCAGAGTTGAAATACATGATAGAAGGTCTGAATAACCTTTGAATAGTTCGCTCCTTCAGTCGGCAAGACAGAGACGATGGTCTCGATCATGGAGGAAAAGGCAAAATAGGGCAAAATGTACAGGAAAACGATTCAAACGATGAACCGAGGCGAAACCTAGTTCATCTTGTGAACGCCCCACATGGATACGTTCGAGGGATGGTGACCTTTGAGAAGTGTTTCCATACTTTCCGGCAGTCTATGCCCATGTGACGTTGTAAAGAATCGAACCAAGTTTGATATTGGTCACAACGCTGACAAGAAAAGAATGCTAACTCTGACAAACCCTTGAGATCAACCAAAACAGGAGGGAAGCCGTACCGGACGGAAAGATCGTGGCTGGAAACCCAAAGCCCAAAACGCATCAAATCACGATCTTAGCTTCTTGGGAAGCTGTATATAGTATAAATGCCTTGATCCTGGCCACAAAGATTACTTGACTCTTCATATGCATAGAGGTGAAGCTTCAGTTGCTTTAAACTCTGAGACCACCTCTGTCCCCCTCCTCTTCAGGCTTGCCCTCCAGCAGCTTTTCCAAAGCTCCTGGAAAGCCAGGCAACAAAGGTCACCACATCGTCATGTTGCTGTTCGCTGAGCAAAACGCACATTGGAGTGTCACGTTTTCGTGCCCAGCTTCCGTGGGTCAGTCCTTCACTTTTGGCTAGGTGCTTTGGAGATTATCCCTGGATATCTATAATTTATATATAAATGATTCTTCAAAGCTCGATTTTCCACATCCGTCCCCCAAGTGGCATGGAAAAACGTCCCGGATCCGCAGCTTTCGAGATCCCCCACCAACAGAAGCCCCTGCCTGGGATCCACTGGAAATCAGGGGAGGCAAGCCTCAGGCTCGTGGGTGATAAAGAGCTTGTTTTCCTCATCTTTTGAACTTTGGCAGAAGAACTTCTTGGACCATCTTCGGACGTATTCGGGAGTGTAGGTCGAAGTCGAAACCTCACGTTTAGTTGGCTGGGATGAGCATCCCTTTGACAACCCATCAACACCCAAAAAACAACACATGGAGAGCCGAAACCATCAAATTTCACCGCCCACCAAATTGATGGTTCTGTGTGGATGGGGATCTTTGATGGTCTGGTGACCGTGCTGATGCCGAGAGATCGTTGACCAGGACTGTCGTTTTCATGTGATGGATCGAGCCCCGGGGTGTCAAGGATGTGCGAAGAATCCATCCAATGTCGTGGTGGTTCGTGGTTTCTGCGACTAGGGAGACCCTCCAACCACTGGATCTTAGATAATCCTCATATGGATTCATATATAGCCTCATGACCAATCCATCTGATCCATCTGTCTTTTCGAGGCTCTTTTCGGATCGATCACACGATTGAAACGACCGGAGAGTCGGAACGACTGGTCGCTGGACCCGGCTGGTCCAATCTGTTTTCTGGCCACCGGACGGATGAACTCAGCTGAAACGTGCCATGGTTGCCAGGGATCTTGTCAGACCCATCAAAATCTGTGGGTGTCTCAATTTGATAGGGGACCCCCAACCTGCTGGCTTGAGATCATTGAAACTGATTGCAACAGTCTTATGATTACGATGTCGCGTGGTCTCTGTGATCACTTTTGTGATAAATTGGAGGTCCCCCATGCACTTGGAATCACCCGCTTAAACGCATGAAGACCGGACTTCACAAACAGCAACAAAAAGGTGATGTGGAACCCTGACCCGCATGTCGAAGTCCGGGCGAAGCCTCATGACCTATAGCTTATGATGTTGGAACAAAGCGATCAAAAATAGATGGCCGCAAGGGCTGCAAGAGGGTGAGGCACTCAGGTAATGCTTTGACGAGTCTGGCACGAACATCCAAAGGCCTCCCCTCTTGTCACTCAGCTTTCGGAACAGGCAATGTCCAGACACATCGCGGCCAACTCACTTCTGCAGGAGTTCAGGAGTCTCAACAAGAGCTGCAAACAGGGCTTTTCTCTCTCTCTCTCTCTCTCTTTCTCTCTGCAACAACTATTCAAAGTGCTTTTCAACACCCAGGACTACGGTTCCTAAGGCCCTAAGGGTGAGGAAATCAGGACTTGCATGGGACCCTCGTCTCAGCTTCAGTGGACTCCAGCGTCCTTCAGTACCCTCCACCGCCGTAGGTCTTCATGAAGTCCTCCTGGAAGGTGGTGAGCTTCGTGATCACCTCCTGCAATCCATAATTCGTGTCGTCATGAGGTCTCTTGCTCATTCTAAGGCATTCCCCCCAAGTCTCAACTAGTTGGGATGGGTCCATGATGGCACAAAAGAAACGACCCATCCAGGGACAGCCCGCTGTTGATCACCGTGGCCAAGAGTAGACGGGCTCACGGAGACCGAGACCGAGACAGTCTCGTCCCGAACGACCAATCACCCATAGAATACGCATAGAATCAAGGAATAAACCAACAAGCATCAACAAGCTTTAGACACTCAAGACAGTGATCTCTAAAGCATCTTCTGGGCCTGATAATAAACTAAAATCTGCAAAAGGTGATGTGCATGGCCCTCAAGGTGCACCCGTCACATGGGTAGAGGCGGCTTTGGAAACTAGCTGTGCTTGCCTGTGTGGGTGAGAATAGAGATTTTTCGTAGAATCAGATTAAGCAGCATTTGAACCTGTGAGCCGTCTCAGCCAAGCTGTCGTCTTGTAAGCCCCGTTCCTAGCCCTCCGGTCTTTCCTTCACCCCAACTTCCGGACCTCGAGTAGCTCATCCGGAGGCAAAATAGTAGTTCGGAAGTGGAAGCTGCCCTCCTTCTGCCCAAAGCCACTGCCTGGCTCCGCAAAAAAGGCGAGCCAGGCAGTTCTCTCACCCGAGACTGAGACAAAGGGTGCGTGGAGATCAGGTGAGAATACAAGCTGGCTGGATCAGGGAAATGGCTCTTCAAGTTGGGGGTCAGGCGGATTCAGGCGTTGCATTGCCTTGCATTGCCTTGCACTGGCTTGCACTGCCTTGCATTGCCTTGCACTCGAGCTGTACTCCTACGGAAATGCTATCGGTTTCGTACTCTCCCTCGAACCTTTCTGCCGCCTTTCTACGGTCGCTGAGTCGAGACAATCGAGACATGAAAGTGAGTGACCATCATTGGCTCGCTGAACAGCCACAGACTGGGCCTGGCACCGTTACAATGCCCGTTTTCTCCAAGAGCTGCAGACACCACAAGCCGTCTGGCTCTTGCTCCTTCTGCTTGGCCTCCTGGGGAGTCCGAGAGAACAAGGTGAAATTCGTCAGGGTTCCAAACGTTCGAAAGATTTCGAAAGAGTGAAGCAGAATTATATAAGATGAATCAACTGGCTACACTGTCCGGTTCAATGGGGAGAGTAAACCTTGTGGAAAACTCACCGGAAATAACTCAACTCCCCACACTGCAAAAAAAAAGGATGGAACCCACGAACCCGAATGCAAACACGTTCAAAAAACTACATATGTCCAAATGACACTCTTGTAGGACACTCTTCTGGGACACTCTTCTGGGACACTCTTGTGGGTCACTCTTACACGACACTCTTGTGGGTCACTCTTGTAGGAAGCTCTTGCGGGATACTCTTGATACCACAAATCAATCCTTGTGGGACACTCAGACAGGACACTGGTGGGTCACTCTTATGGGACACTCTTGTCGGACATTCTTGTGGGACACTCTTGTGAGAAACTCCTGTAGGACACTCTTGTGGGTCACTCTTACAGGACACTCTTGTGGGACCCTCTTGTGGGACACTCTTGTAGGACACTCTTGTAGGACACTCTTGTAGGAAACTCTTGTGGGACACTCTTGTAGGACACTCTTGTGGGACACTCTTATAGGACACTCTTGTGGGACACTCTTGTAGGACACTCTTGTGGGACACTCTTGTGGGACGCAGTTGCGGCACACTCTTGTGGGACACTCTTGTGGGACACTCTTGTGGGACACTCTTGCGGGACACTCTTGTAGGACACTCTTGTAGGACACTCTTGTGGGACACTCTTGTGGGACACTCTTGTGGGACACTCTTGTAGGACACTCTTGTGGGACACACTCTTATAGGACACTCTTGTGGGACACTCTTGTGGGACACTCTTGTAGGACACTCTTGTGGGACACTCTTGTAGGGCACCCTTGTGGGACACTCTTGTAGGACACTCTTGTGGGACACTCTTGTAGGACACTCTTGCGGGTCACTCTTATGGGACACTCTTGTCGGACATTCTTGTGGGACACTCTTGTGAGACACTCTTGTAGGACACTCTTGTGGGACACTCTTGTGGGACAATTTTGTGGGACACTCTTGTGGGACACTCTTGTGGGACACTCTTGTGGGACACTCTTGTGTGACAGTCTTGTGGGAAACTCTTGTGGGACTCTCTTGTAGGACACTCTTGTGGGACACTCTTATAGGACGCTCTCGTGGGACACTCTTGTGGGACACTCTTCTAGGACACTCTTGTGGGGCACTCTTATAGGACACTCTTGTGGGTCACTCTTATGGGACACTCTTGTCGGACATTCTTGTGGGACACTCTTGTGAGACACTCTTGTAGGACACTCTTGTGGGTCACTCTTACAGGACACTCTTGTGGGACACTCTTGTGGGACACTCTTGTAGGACACTCTTGTGGGACACTGTTGTGGGACACTCTTGTGGGACACTCTTGTGTGACACTCTTGTAGGAAACTCTTGTGGGACACTCTTGTAGGACAATCTTGTGGGACACTCTTACAGGACACTCTTGTGGAACACTCTTACGGGACACTCTTGTAGGACACTCTTGTGGGACACTCTTGTAGGACACTCTTGCGGGACACTCTTGTAGGACACTCTTGTAAGACAATCTTGTGGGACACTCTTAAGGGACACTCTTGTGAGACACTCTTGTGGGACGCAGTTGCGGC